GTGTTCTGTGATCCAAAATCCACCTTTTAAATATTTTATTTTGAAGATGAAATAAAGCGTGTTGTTTTAAGTATTTTGTTTTGTTTATTAGAACATTATGATGTTCTAATATTATTGTTAGAACATTATGATCTAGTCTCTTGCAATTAATGACTACTGCATGCAATAACTGGCCTAGCCTTCCTGCAGCAGCTGTGGTGAGCCCAGTTATTATGTTGGTGAGGTGGAAGAATAGCTTGGTATTTGGGGAAGGGCTCTTAGCAGCATGTGGTGCTAAATGGCACTCATTTAGGTTTCTGCTCTCTGTTAGCTGAAAGTAAGAGTCAGGAGGAAAAGGATCTGCCTCTTGTGGTACTCTATTGGAATCCAAAATGGATACTAATGGTAACCAAGAGGAATCAGACCATGCATTAGTACAGATATAGGCACATATTTCTGTAATAGAGTTATCGAAGTCTGGAATTCCCTGATTCGCTTGTCTTAGCTACAAATTTTTAGTTTCAGTCACAAATTGATATCTGTAGACCTTACTTCAAACTTAAGCGGTCAGCAGAGGCGGCACTAACGTGCCTATCATCTCTGTCATAGTATTTTTATGCTCTTATTCTTGTTCTCATTTTTCTCTGACAAATTCCAATAAATACATAAAATAAATATTGAGTGTGTGAATGAAACATATCAAGCGTGAATCAAATTGCATTTGATAGCCCTGGCAGGCCTTATGTAGTGGAACTTCCCCTACCCCACATGGCAAGGCACTCAATATGCCTCCTCATTCCTCAGGAATGGAGAAACATGGTCAAGGCAGATTCTACACTTCAGCCTTTCTTGGCATCAGTTTAACAGACTAAGTTCTGCAATTTGTTCTTTAGATGAACTGCAGGAGAAGCGGCATTCAAAAAGCTCTGGGGATTCAAACTTAGTGATGTTATACATCGACCACAGTCCTTAAATGCACAGCAAGCATTAGCGCCATCTGATAGACATTTCATTCCCAGCAACAGGTAACAGTCCTGATTCCAAGCTATGGAGATTCTACACCGACTAGTACTGTGATGGTGAATCTATGGCACACGTGCCACAGGTGGCACGCAAAGCCATTTGTGCCGCCACGTGAGCTGCAGGCAAACTTAACTCACTGCATATGTGCATGCTTCGCAGCTGATTTTCGTCCCGTTCGAGGCCTTTTTCGGCCTCCCAGAGGCTCGAGGACAGCTTCTGCAGCCTTTGCAGGATGAAAAATAGGCCCGTTTTGTCACTTCCTGTAATACCGGAAGTGACGAAATGGGCCTATTTTTCGGCCTGCAAAGGCTGCAGAAGCTGTCCTCAAGCCTCTGAGAGGCCAAAAAAGGCCTCAAATGGGCCAAAAATCAGCTGGGAGGTGCGCTTCAGGTAAGGGGGGTGGGTGGGAGATTGCACACACATTGCCTTCTGGTTGCTGGCACGTGAGCACGCGGGCGCAAGTGTGCACATAATTTTGGGCACAGGAACCCAAAAAGTTTAGCCACTACTGGACTAGTGTATTGATATGACCAGTGGAAAAGAAAGGTTCATTTTGTTAGCTTAGAAAGGCAGAGTAAAGCTTTTGCTTCTCCAGTTTTGGACAGCCAACACCAACATCTGCACAGAATGGACAATGGTTGCCGGGTAGAATATCTCTTGTCCTTCAAACTGCATCTTCAGATGAAATGGTAAAATTTAAAAATGCTCATGCAGTTATTTAGTCCATGGTTCAATGTACAAGAAAGACAATTCAAGCATATTGACTTGTCCGTTTAGTACAGTTCTATCCCTTTGGGAATTCAAATACCATCCCCACCTTATTTTTATGAGAAATTATGCCTGCGTGTTCGTTTTCTCAATATTTTAGAATATAAATGAATTGGAAGACACTGGGTACTTTCTGAATCCAGTCTCTCTCTTAGACAGAAGCATTTCTTTCTTTTACTCATTTTCTCATTCTATTAAATAGGAACTTCAGACCTATTTTAGGCAATCAAACAGCCAAGCTAAAGAGTAAAACAATGGATATGATAAATAAATTTTCAGGTGGAATCTCCATGTAAATATTCAGGTTGAGATAATCTGGCCTTTTGAATATAAGGTTTAGGCAATGTACATTAAAAGATTATAAGGTTTTAACAGATTTGTGGGCTAATTAAAATTCATTTTCTGCCTGACTGCACTTCTGAAGGTACCTGAAAGGATGATAGAAATTAAAAAGTTAAAAAGCAGGTCCCACTTCACATTTTATCAGTTATTGCTCATGAGCATGTCAAATGTCGTAGGCACCTGTTTCCATGCAATTTCTATATTATAAAATGTTATATTATTAAAAATAAAATAAGGGCTGATTTCTCCAAAGTTTCAGTGGTTGGTGGAAGGGAGCATGAACTGACATCCTATTTATGCTTGTTGTCATAGAAGAAAGGGAGGGAGTGAAGGTTTTTTTCCCCCAAGTTCCAAAACGGTTCTTTTTTTCTAAGGTCAAACCAGAACTTCCAATGAAACAAAATCATCTGTTGTAGTTTTTTTCAATGAAGTACATCCAATGTAAAATTTCATGTTCTGCACTCTGGAACGACTGAGAATAGATTTTGACATCCTGTGTGGTATTTTCTCAGATATTTGAAGACTGGTATTATATTCCTTTTTTAGGCCTCTCAAAATTCAACATGCTGTTTGTTCCATCTCTCTTCACATGGCTTTGTTTCCCTCACCCCAATTATTCTCAACTTTCCTTCTATGAATTAAGTTCCAATGTTTGAATTCTTAAACTGCTATAATACTTGAGCTGATGTCTACTAATGGAAAATAAAGTGGAACTACGATTTCCTGTAATTTGGGAATATTGTTCATTCTGCTAAATTTTCAATTGGCAGCATTACACTGATGGCGCCTACTTAATTTTTTAATCAACTACCTTTCAACATCTTTTCCACAAAGTACTCTTGTCCAGTCAGATATCCCCCTTTTGTGTAACCATATGTCTAAATGAATATTATTTATTTAGCATATGGGAAATACATGGACTTAATAGTGGTTCAAATGTTAATGTCCAGTCCACCTAGCCACTCTAAGACAAGGTGGTCTATGTTGAAAAAAATCAGACATTGGGCCGGTGGACATTCAGACACAATGTGATGGATATTTTGTTGAGGAGCACCACACTCACACTGAGGGGTACAGACAAAACCCCACTTAAACAAGGAGTCCTGGCACACACCACGTTGGGTAAGGATCCTGTTCAGAGTTGACCAATGCTGACGAGGAAGGTCAAAACCTGGCACCTTTTGTGTAGGATCATCTATGTAACTGCCTCTATCTGGCCATTCAGCAGCCCATTTGGCTTTCCACTGTGTGCTGATATCAAAGTTGTTAGATAGTTGTTGAGCAAGTGTCAAGGGCTTCCTGGATTTAAGCCTACCAACTGATAGATGAGGAAGATCGGCATGCACAGGAAGAAGTGGGTTTCTCAAAATTTTGTTGTACTCCTTCACTAAGGCTTCCTGCTGTTGTAGAGCTGGTGGAGCAATGTGGCTCGAGACGGGGAGCCAGCAAGTAGGAGATGATTTTATGCAGCCACTTATGATCCTCATTGTATCATTTAGTCTAGCATCGATTGTCCTAGTGTGACAGTTATTAAGCCAAACAGGGGTGCAGTATTCAGCTGTGGCGCAGACCAACCCTAGTGCTGAATAACTTTGCCTTTTCTCTATTAAGCTCATTCAGTCCTTATCTCCAACACATTTTTACTTCTGCTTTACTATCCCCATCCAATTTTGTAACATGTGCAAATTTAGTAAGCAATAGATCTAGCTTTTCTTTGCTACCTATCAGTGTTACACTGTGTTTATTAAGCAACTGATATACTGGCTTATTATTATACTTACTATTTTTAATTATATTCTAAACATTTCTGATGACATTTTGTTATGTTACCATTGTTCTTGACATCCACTGACAACTGCTGGACTGTAACTATTGTATCATTATTTTCTATAATTCTTGGCTTCCTGTATACACTTTCCCTTAATGATTTGTTGACCTTTCTTCTTCTATACACCCTTTGTTTTCAAAGCTTTTATTACACCTTAAACGTTTTCTACTGTCTTCATTTTGCCCCCTCTTCATTGAAGTGATTTGTACTGCAATTGGTAATTTTTTAGGAACTCCATCAGTTCAGGACACATCATCTTATATATTACATAATATGTTGAGCCATATTCAATTTTAATTTTCCTTCAACTGTTCCAGCTACTTCCATTTCCTTTATTAGGGTTTTTTCCTATTGCTTAGAATAAATGAAACCAGAGTTGATTCTCTTATGCTTTTTGTTTAAACCTTCTGAAAGCAAAATTTTCTAGCAAGGTGAATCAGGAACTCCCTGAGAGGGACATTCTTGGCACATTTAAGTCTTCTGTTAAATTTCCAAAATCCTAGTTTCAGATGCTTATCTATTTTTTATTTATAATAAATTGTATGTATGTATGTATGTATGTATGTATGTATATATATATATATATATGTATATGTATGGCATTCAGCTTTGCTTGGGTATTTTCCCACGTCATTGTAGTTGTGCTTTTAAAGTTGTAGCAACCTTTCGGCAGAATCTCATCTGCCATCATCAGGCTGTATACAGAAGCCTGATGATGGCAGATGAGATTCTGCCGAGTTGCTACAACTTTAAAAGCACAACTACAATGACGTAGGAAAATACCCGAACAAAGCTGAATGCCATATATGTAAGTACACGCGAAAACTTAAGAAAACAAGTATATGTATATATAAATTATAATAATTTTATTATTATCTATTTTGATGTTTCAAGGAATATAATTTCAAAATCTATATTTTTTTTAATAAAAGAACACAGTCCAGTAAAAATGCTGAAATAGCAGGAATAAAAAGTGGAAGGTAAAGGAAATTGTATGTACTGTAGGCTTTTTACCTCAGAAATCCATCTCCAGATTTTACAGTCTTGGGCACTTTTGCAGAGAGTGTACCTAACAGGAATACTGCGGAATGAATGCCATGGGTTCACTCCACATCCACATCCATTTTGCAAAGCTAAGTGACTCTGCAGTATACCACTCGTCTTTTCTCCTATAAGCAATCCAGTCTACTGAATAATGCAAAGCAGCTTGTCATGTGAGAGAGCTGCTTTTCCAAATACGTTAAATGACAAAAGAAGCCTTTTATACCACATTCTTTGAACATCATGTACAGTTTACATTAATGTCTGCTCTTTATTATAAATTACCTAATCTTTTTTGAAAGGTAAAAAATTGAAGTACACAACACTTTTAATGTAGATATTTAACTGCAAATACTGCATCATTTCTGGTGAAGGTAATCCCCCCCTCCCGCCCTTCCTCAAATTCTGTTCACAGGCATATATGAAGACTGGTTAAGTTATTAATTGGGATTATATCTTCCTACACAAGTGAATGAGTTCTGGCATGTACCTAGGGAATAATTATGTTTAAAAGTCCTTGATATTGTCTTTGAGTTCATGTAAAATGATTCATTAAAATGTTTGAATTTAAATTATTAGTTTAAGTTTCCTGAAGAGCTTCAAACAAGTCACTGATATGCTGTTATGTAAACATGAATTTGTTTCATTTTAGTATAAAATTGTAAGCTAGACCCAAGTAAAATTAATATATCCCAATCACACATGATTGGATATTGAGATTTAGATCAGATAAAAAGGCAAAAATCAAGCTTTAAAATAAATTGTTAAATATAGTTCTCGGAAAAATAATTGAAGATAGATAGATATATGATTAGAATCTGAACTAGTGTAAAACTAGTAGGATAACGTATTCAGCACCTTTTAGTTGTATTTAGCAGTTGACAAGGTTTGTCTGTTTTTTTTCTCCTATTTCCCCTCCCTCCATTGAGCAATTTGACAGTTTTGTTTAACCCAAGTAATACCTGTGATTAGTGGAAAGGCTTTTTTAGCAGACACAGAAAATGGAAGATGAAACTGCAGCAGAAGCATGACAAATCTGAAAAGTTAATTAGTGCATAAATCTATTTTAAAAACAAAAAAGATAGAACTTACAAGGTACGATAAAAAGTTATGTCTTTAAAGCTAAAGATTATATAACAGGGTGGGAAATGTTTAAAATCCATTTCTATAAGTGAAGTGGTTAAACTTCCAAATGTATAAAGTATGTATGCTGTCCAAAGTATTATTTCTTTCCACAGCATTTGTTTTTTATATACAGAAGTTTAAAAAAAATCAGATTATTATGCTTTTCCCACCCTGGCAGAGAATAAACATGAATTCAAAAGCACAGTGGAAGTGGGGAAAAAAGAAGAAAAGAGAGAAAAGGCAGCAGAGAAAGACAGAAGAGGTGAATACAGAGCTACAGAAGTGTTTATTGAGCATGCTACAGAGGCAAGCAGCGTACACATAAGAAGAAATTAAACAACCATCAAACCTCCCAACTTTGTTAGAAAATTAATTTTTAATTGTGCCGCTTTCAAACTATACTGAAATATTACATTTCTAAAGATGTAAAAACTCAACTAATAGAAAATATACATGACCTTTTTCTACATAGATAACATAATCTATGACTTTTGGAACTAAATACATCAATTGCAAAAAGTATTGGTCATTTGAACAGAATCAGTAAAACAGCCCAGATTGATAGAGGAACTGTTTCCAAATGAATTATTTTTTCCTGTAGATTCTGAGCCATGTTTATAGTAAAGGCAGATCCATTTCTAGATATAAAATATTTTGAAGAGATTTATTAAAACTGAATATTACAATGCAAGGTAAATTAAGACTAAAGGCACATAAACTTTGGTCCCACCTGGTTGTCAGTTTTTTGTTTTTTTTTATAAAGAAAACTGCCAAAAAATTATTAATCTTTCTGCAAAAGTTTGCAATACATTTTCTTCATCCTTGAAATACATGCACCAACTCCTGAACTAGCTAGACCAGTCTGAACATGCTCAGAAATCCACAACCATATTTCAAATTGTAATTACTAACTAAAAATGGCAATATATATTTAAATGCATGTAAGTTATGTCAACTTCAAAAAACATCTACAAAAAATATTCAGCCACAAACAAGACATTACTTAGTGCCAACATTTATATGATTCGCCCCAGAGTGTGTTTACAAAAAGGTTAAGACTTTATACAACTCTTTTTTTCACTGAGGCTAAAAGCCACAGGAACTAACAAAAAAAAACAGAAGAATCACTTTCAGACTTTTAAAGAAATTAACTCTTTGCATCTTTGTAGTTCTGACTAAATCCTATATTTTCAACTAAACTAAATCTGAAATACAAAGGCCATTTTTACTGAGAGAAAAAAAATAATACGCTGCATTTCTCTTCGAGAAGAACAACTGATTTTGTTTTAAAAATGTTTCATGGAAAACTGATAAATCCCAAACAGAAAAAAAAGCTTAACCCTTTTTACACACTCTTGCCTAATACATATTTGGCATAATCCTGCAGAAGTTAGGTGCAACAAATTCCTCCTGAAATCAATGTTCTAATTCTTGGATTTCAATGGAATAAATGCAAGCCTAACGTTCACTGGACTGCACCTATTAATTCCCATATAATGTGCCCCAAACAACCAAATTTTTAACTAGTAAATGCAACTCTAAGTTTTCCTTCTTTAAGGCACGTATGTTAACTAAGTTGAAAAACTATGGGATTTCCTCAGAATCCCCTTTAAACAAAATGGTTTCATAAACATATGCAAAACCAGCAGATAATATCACTGCTTCTTCCTTGCAAATCCTTTTTCATTTCATTTATACATAAACAATCAAGGAATGATAACAGCATGAAAAACAGATGTCCATCTCTGGTCCCCGCTTTCCCGAACAGTCATAGATGACAACACTAAACAATGTGACACAACCTTATTATTTTGATATCTCACTTCAAATGGTTGATTTGGAAAAAGAAACTCTCAGATGATGATTTTCTCCAAGATTGTAATTATGCAGATCAATCAAAGCCTGGATAGCTTCTTCTACTGTTGACATCTGAAGAAGGGCCATCTTGTGATCTCTTCTGGAACAAAGCAATGAAATTAGATACGAAAACAATACAAGAAAGTTTTAATATAAAACCTATTCTTACCAAAAACAGCTGTTCCCTCATTTTAAATGAAATTTCAAAGAAAATGTGCTTACTGAAAAAATTTAAATGCTTTCACAGTGCCTCCAGTATTACCAAACAACATGCGCAGGTCATCTTCTGATACTGACGGTCTACAAAAAGAAGTAAAAGAGAGACAGGAAAGAATTAAAAGCTACATTTGGCTTTTACATGAATTTTTCAAGGAATTTGCTAGCCAAGACTTACGGAATATTAGATAAATGAAGAGTTGCAGATGGGGGAAAAATATTTTGAAAGTTTTTTGAACCAGGCTTCTTGAAACGATGAAGAGGTGAATTGCCAAAATCCTTTGTTAATCCTTGGTCATCCAGACCTTCTCGAGGTAGCTGAACTGTTTGATGTTTGGAAAGAGTGACACGAATAATCTTGCCATACATTTTCTGCCCATTAAGATGGCTCATAGCTAAAGAAAAATAATGAAGATTATTTACTTCAGTCCTTATATTAATTTAAAAATATAACTTTTTAATATAGTGTTTTTAAAAAAGCCTCTGATGGCAATTTGTTTTATTAAATGGAGACATGAAAAAAGATGTAGTTTTTTTTTTTCATATGCTCAATTTGGAAGTTATTTGAAATACTGGAGGTTTTTACAGAAAAGAGTTTTCTAAACTTAAAAAACAAAACAGAAAAACAATCTAAAGAATAAAAAATAGCATTAGAAATAAAGCATATTTAATTAAATTTATTTATTTAATTTATTTAACTTATGTCTTGTTTGTTTGTTTATTGATCATGTGTCTAGTTTGCCCATGAAATCTAAAATAAAATAAATTTAGTATTTACTATTCTGGGGCATAGTAGATGTCTAATCTCATTCTGAATAGCATAGTATAGAAATCCTTGGAAAAAAGGAATGCCTTAAAATGCCTGGTACTGAAAAAAGATTAATAAAGAACCCTGACCTTCCCATTTGGAAAGGGCATTCAATAAGCAAGACTATAGGCAAGAAGGTTAACATCTCTGTCATTTTCCATTCCAAATTTTCCAGGGCTGTCTAGAACTCTTTTTGTTGAATTACTATTGAATTTCAATGAATGTCTACTTAAAATTAAAACTAATTTTTAAGTTTCATTCACATCACTGTGTATTCAGTAAAGCAAAAGGAAAATAATGGCTTATTTAATATACAAATCAGATGATTTAATTACTACTAATAATTAGGCAGATCAATTTTATGATACAAATCTAAAAGGATATGTTTCAGCAGAACTTTGTTTTATTCAAACAACAATGGTGCATTTTTGTAAGTTGGAGCAGGATCTAAAAGAATTATATAACGTGCCACATACATAAAAATTTACTCTCCTTCCGCTTCTTATAAATAAGATTATATTTAACATAAGTAGGCAAGTTAATGAATTACCCCTCATCAGTCTCATTCCCTTCCTTAAAGATAAAAATATTTTAATGCAACGCAAAAGCACATGAATCTGCAATATTCTGTTATTTACTATCCACCCATTACAGGTGCAACTTTGTAATTAATAAATTATCTCACAGGTACAGAGGGTTGAGAACTAAAAAAAAAAAAATCCAGAAAAAATTCTGTAGCTGTACCCACTGAAGTAAATTATTGTCCAATTGAATAGCCTCATGTTCAGAAAACAATTATCTATCTTCGGAATATATTAGGCAACTTTACAGACTTTATTCACACCTACAGAAATCCTGTGGTTTTATAAACTTAAAATAGGAACAGTTTCCCAAATAATTTTAAGAAACGCTGAAAACCAAGGATGAAATGGAAGAAAAAAAGGACGTTAATCTCACCAAGCTGTGACTGGTTTCCATCAGCCATCTGTATAAGAGCACTGTCTTTCTTATTGTATAAAATCTTCACTCGTTGTACATCCCCATAAACACCTTTTTAGGATTAGAAAAGTAACCCAAAAGAAATAGTATTTTAAATATAGCTAAATAGAATACTTTGAAATATCAATGAAACATTCGGACAGATCTTTCACTTCTTCCAGCATTCACACAAATGAATAAGAAGAACAAGATTTTGAATAGGTGGATTTTGAAAAAAGGAAGACATTTTTGATACACCCTCAAAGCTATGAGAATGGTTTTAAATAAAAGACCATGCAAAATAAAATCACATGCATTAAAAGAAAAGTTTGCATCTATGGAATTTAAAAATAGCAAAAGAAAAATAGCAAAAGATTTACTATTCAACTTTAAGCCAAACTGCTAGCTATAAATAAGAATTAAGGTGAAACAAATAATTAAATCAATAATAAAAGTATAGTGCTAACAATAACATACCGAAGAGGGTAAACAGACTTTGGGGCGTAACCATCTTTAGAAGGAGAGAAGAGCAAGCAGCATAAGACAAGAAGAGAGAAGAGTCGAGGAAGAGCGGAGATGAACAGATCATCCATAACGAAGGGTGGTTCCCGCAGAATGGTGAGGTGGTCATGGATCATGGTTCAAGGCGGTTAATTGGGGCAAGTTGGTCCGAGGAACATTTTGTTCAAGCACAGAAGCATGAACATAGGGGATGGAGACAGGGGTGTAGACAAGGAATGCAAAGGAGAGGGGAGGGGAGGGTATGGGAATTTGGGAAGAGACAGGGAAAGGGTAGGTGAGCACACAGGGAGAAGGATGAAATGGGGAAGGGAAACAGCAATGCAGAAGAAAAATAAGGAAGTGGGGAACAAAAAAAAAATAAAATATAGGTCAGTACATAGGAAATGCAGGAATTTGGTCAGAAAATGGTTGGTTTATGTATTGTACAAGAAAAACTGAGTAAAATGTAGTCACCCAAGACAAAATATGGGTAAAGTACATCCATATCATACAGTAAATTACATTTCTATAGAACATGAAAAAACATGCAATAGAAACTTAAAAGAAAAAAAATCCTCTTAAACTTTAACTGCATAAGCATGTCTGGTTATGAAATGCAGGGAGAAGTCTTTCAAATGGCACTCTGATTCAAGCATTTTAACACGCAAGACTATGAATGACAAAAATGAGAGAAGTATAATGGTTCAATATTAAAACAGAGGCCAGTCAAATGGAACACATAGTCAAAGTAGACAAACCGATACAAACTATCCCACATTTCATACCAGCTTCCACAGCAAGTCAAAGTAAAGATCCAAGGCAATAAAATGCAAAACTAAAAGTAACTCAGACTTCAGAGTTAAGGAAATAATAAAACAAAGGTTTTCTAAAAAGGAGACAAAATGAATAGCAACTGCAAAAGAAAAGAAAAATTACTAAGAGAGATTGAAGTGCTGCATCAAGATCGTTGGGAGGAACCTTCAAAGAAAAATTTGTTAGAGTTGTTCACATACATTAATACAACAAAAAGAGCAGAGATGTATAAGCATGAAATGAATAAGCAAAGGAAAAATTATAACAGCAAAATAGCAGTTTTATTAAACTCTATATTTCAAAAGGAAGCACACTAACCGTTACAAAAATAAGCTAAAAAATATCCAGAACATGCAGTGTTTACTCTCTCTAGTTTTTTTTTAAATAGGTAGCCAAGTAGGAAAGTGTTATTTTAAAAGGGCTAGCTACCCACAAAATCAAAAGTATTTAACACTATAGAATATATTGGAATCCAGCCATAATGCAATCTGAAGTAACATGAATAAATAAAAAGTCAACCTTAAGATATGGAAGCAAGCTCAAAATAAGAAGGGTACATAAGAATTTGAAAAGGAATGAGGCATGATTAAAGAAAAGAAGAATGCTGAAGAGAGAGTAGATACACTAACCTCTTCATTTAAATTGCTAACCAAAAGGACTGTATTGCCACCAGTTGAAACTCCAGGCATACCCACACGGCCAGCCGCCGCCGCCGCTGCTGCCGCCGCAGCATTTGGAATTCCCAATGGACTCAGCGCTCCTGGAACAGCTGCAACAGGAAGCCCTAATTTTAAAATAAAGCATATTTTACGAAACACACACAAGTCGCTCTAATATAGCCTAATTAATGCTCCCACTGCTGAAACCAATACTTTATGATAAAGAGACTCTCGCAGTGTTCTCAACCTTGGCATCTATAAGATGTGTGGACTTCAACTTGCAGAATCATCCAGCCAGCATGCTCTTCAACTGACTAATATAAATCGAAGCAAATGATGTTATTTCTTTTACAATAAATTCCGGGTTAAGGCTCTTTTTTAAAAAAAAAATCCCTTGTAGCAAAGGGGAGAAAAAAACACACCTCTAATCGATTTGGGTTTGAAGCATTTTTACCTACATATTATATAGTAACAAAGGGAAAAGACTTTACTAAAAGGAGTACACATTTCGTATTTCACCATTCCTCAGAATTTAATAAAGTTAATTTTTTAATCTGCAAACTGCCCCTAATATACTGCAAGTTAGCTACCAGAAGTGATGGAAAGCACACAGCATATAAGCATCAAACTCTACAATGGACACAGACAATCACCCTGGCACAATGTCTTCTAAAGAAAAACCTTCTAAGGGTTGCAAACCATATCCCATGACAATATTTCTCCAGAATAGTTTATTCACAATTATCTGTCCTAAGTATGAAATCAATCTGTATTACTGACTTGTAAAACCATGATTCAATATTTCAGAGATTAACATAGAAATGTTCCCGTGCTGCGTATCCTTTGGTATTGAGTGAAAAAACTACATGCAAGTATCATTGTCTGATGATAACAGACTAGGTGCACTAATGAGTATTACCTGTACCTAGTATTACTAGATGGAGTACCATAGCCTACTCCCTCTCCCAATTTAAAAGCAACACCTTCTTCCTCAAATTATGATACAAGCTTCCATATGAATGCTAAGATATTTTTAATAAGATAACAATACAATTATCATTTTTGTAATTTTGGTTTATAAAATTCCTGTTATAAAGATGAATCCTTTGCCAAGGGTGATGTTTTTGTTTCAAACACTACATATTCTGACATCTTACCATTTTAGCAATGGCAGAAAGATCTATCCAAGTTTGTATGACAACGGAAAAAAACAAAAACAAAGGTTAAATATAAAATACTCCAAGATGCTGTCATGGTTCGGCCCCTGGACCCGTCTCCAGACGCGAGTTTGGAGAGGGAGGATGAATTTGAGTCAGCAGAGGACAACATGGAACTCAGTGATGGTCCGGATCAGGGCTTGGAGAGTGCTAGCCTGATGGAGAAATCTCAGCTGGGTAGATCGGATGAGCAACGGGCTGGGGCTAAGCGAGCCAGCGAGATGGCCAGGAGGCTCCAGGTGAGGAAGCAAGATGGCCAGGAGACTCCAGGTGAGGACCAGGAGCAGGTGCCACCCATTAGCAATGAGGAGGAGGAGTACACACTTCCTTCTGATCCAAGGATATGTAGGGCAGAAAGGAAACAGGTACAATGCCAGTCAGCTAGATTACTTGTGAGGAGGCAACCTTGCTCCTCATGAAGGGCCGCCCGTACTAGTGTCGCCTACCTAATCTCACCACAAGGACTTGAGTGCTGCTGCAGCAATTTGCCCAGTTCCGTGCCTTGTGTGTTCGTGCCATGTATCCTGATCCATCTGACTTTTGGATTGTTTTGCTGGACTTTACGTGTAAACAGATGGACTCTGTTTACCCAGTGACTCTTGCCATGCTGAATTCAGAATCTGAACCTGCACATCATGGATGCTTTCTGAGGACCTGTTTGAGGGAGGGGGGCTTGAATAAACATCTTTATAGAACTCTTACTGTGTATGTGTGGAATGGGGCAGCACAGATACAAAGGAACAAGGAGTGGAATTGCCTAACTTGAGTTTGTATTTTGCAACGTGCTATTTGATTTGGATGAGAGTAAGTTCTCCTGAGATATAAGATAATTTTAAAATTAGAAGAGCACAATCTGAGATTTGGATGGCATGGGATTCTTTTATGGTATGATAAACTTAAGGTTAATGTAGATCTTAAGAATATATTAGAACCATCGCAGAGAATGTGGAATAGATATAAATCCAGACTGTGCCCAAAAATGTCTTCAGGGATCTCAGCACAAGAAGCACTTTTTTAGGAGAAAAAAAGAACAGCAAAGAGGCTAACTATTGAGAGGTTTTTAAGACAAGAGCATGGAGAATATAAGATTAATTAAAAGAAGAGATACCTGTACAGGGATTTAGTTTTCTATGGTTTTTGTATGTACAATTAAGAGAAAGATTTAAGGTAGATATGACATTTGGAACTAATAAACAGAAGGCAGAATTTGTAGTTAAATTCTGTAAAAAGATGAACATGTAATTGCTAAAATTTATAAACTTTTATTCAACTGTAAAACAAAAGAATATGTGAAAGAGTGCATGATAAAGAACTTTGGACATAGCGTATTGATAAACTGTGGGAAAATATGTGGTTAAAAGGTATAAAATCTACTTTTTGTCATACAGTATTTGTCTTAACAAAGTAAAGATCAGTTTATTGAATGACTGGTACATGACTTCAGGAAAATTATGTAGAATATATAAAGGTAGTTCAAAATTATACTGGAAATGTGGATAACACAAAAGGTCATTATATCACATGTGGTGGACTTGTAAAAAAAGCCACAACATTTTGGGTTCAAATATACACAGTGATGCAAAGAATTTTAAAAACATAGTATTTGACTACCAGATTTTTTTTCTCGCTGGGATTAATGGACAGGCAATTAGAAAAGAGCCATGGAAAGCTATCCTTCCTATGATTACTGCTGAAAGACTATGCACAAAAACAAAAAGGAAATATGCACACTTAGTATAAAGATCAGAAAGAATCCATAATTAATGTATTTTGGAATCATAATAGAATTTCTGAACATTGGTAGATTCATAAGCAACATTTCTTTATAAATCCAACTCTGTCCCCCTCCCTTTCCCTCCCTCCCTCCCTCCCCCATCCATCAATTGATTGATCCATCTACCCATAGCAGATTTACATACTATTAAATGGGCCATATAATTCAGTGATTGGAGGTCCAAGACTATAATTGCAGAAATAGTTATTCAACTAATAATACAAGATAAATATTGAATCAGAGGTTTACATGTAACAAATTACACAAATCCTTCACGGATACAGAATACTAAAATCCAGTGACATATTACTGTCTTTATTAAATATGTCATGATCACAACATAGCCCAGGTTCTTGCTTTGGTCAGTGAACAATATGAGATTCAGTAGCCCACCATGATTTTAGATATAATGCTTGGATGAAAGAATAAAAATAAAGTAAATATATCAAAATGTCATAGTTGAACACTCAATAAAATCTATAATTTCTCTTGGACATCTATTATATATCATTGTATTTTCAGAAAGTTCATGGAATAAGTAAGCAGTCTCTAGGATGAATGATGAAACTGTCTGGGCCATGTTTCTTGGGAATATATACATTTGCAAAGCTGGTCTATTGCATCCTATAAATAACTCTGGTTCAGACTAAAGTAAACAAAAGTAAATTAACCTAACAAAAAAACCCTATTTCAAAAATGCCATTCTGACAAGTAATACAAACATTAAACTCCAATAGTTGGAGATCAAATGGGATGAAGAAAGAAGTAACAAATGTTCATATAATTCTTCAGTGAGGATACTGTAAGGGTAGAAAATGATCCAAGAGTTGACCTGTTGAAAAAAGATGCTAAAATCATATTACACCTGAAAAAAGCTCAAGAATGCAAGCAAAATCTTCACATTGGTCAGAAGCAATAATACAAAAACCGTGAACAGAAGGTTTCCAAACTCCTTATTTCATAGACTTAAAGTCAGGGGTGGGATTCTACCAGTTCACACCTATTCACAAGAACCGGTTGTTAACATTCTAAGCAGTTCGGAGAACCGGTTGTTGGAAGAAATTACTGGCCTAATCCTGTAAGGAAGGCAGGAAGGAAACATTCTGGTGTTGCTTACAGAAACTGCCTCTCCGTTAACCCATATTACATTCTTGGCAGGACTAGACTTCCTGTCTCAGGAATGTCTCTGGAGTTTTTTTCCCCTCCTTTGCTGGTATTTTGCTTGTGTGGAGTGACCATTCAAAGTTACAATGGCACTGAAAAAAAGTGACTTGTGACCGTTTTTCACACTTACAACTGTTGCAGCATCCCCAGTCATGAGAGGCCAGGCGAGGAGATGCGTGCCTCGATGTGAGTGATATTGAGTTGGCCACACCCAGCCAATAACATGACCACCAAGCCATGTCCACCCAGTCACATGACCACCTAAGCCACACCCACCACCTAAGCCACACCCACAGAACCGGTTAAAAAATTAAATCCCACCCCTGCTTAAAGTATTAGAAGAGATACTACAACGAGACCTCTACATTTTTACTCATAGCAGCACATTTGACAAGCAACTAGCTTTAATGAAATATGGATTCACTGCTAACTAGAAATAGGATTGTTATTTTTCTTCCTCACAAGCATATGACAATTCTAAAACGATACCACCTGATTTGGGGCTTTGTCTTTATAAAACATTTCTTTCAGCAATCCAACTAAACCTGAATGAAAGCTAGCTCCCTCAAATGCCACTTGTGTAACTGCTGGAAAATTCTTTGGGGAAAAGGTGATATAAAAACTTTAACACTGCAGTGCCATAATAACCAGTCCTTCCTCTCTGTCAAGAAACAGATAATGGAATTCATTTTCTGCATGCAACACTTGATCAATAAAATTCTTTTCTATTCAAAATGAGACTTAACAACTTTACCTATTATTGAAACATGGTTATACTTAGGAGATCACTATTTTGTATATTCTGGAAAACATGAGGAAACTAACAATGTCAATGTTTTCTTGCTAAGGATATTATGTTAAAAATTCATTAAGCAATTAGTAATATCTACCTAAATATCCCCGTTCCCTTTTTGCTTTTGGGCACACTGGTGGATACTAATCTTAAAAGCTAAATGATCTCATGTGTAAAGCAAAGACTCTTCTTCATCAGCTTAACGTAATATTAAGTTGACTGGGATTTCCACAGGGCAAAAATACCAAATTTCCTTTTTAGTAAATATATTCAGTAGGTATGTGACTCCTAGAGATTATATACTGGAGACTCTTAACTTTCTGTCCTAAAAACTTGAGATTCAGTTTGTTGTTTCATAGACATTACAGATAGTTTTCGACTTACAACAGTTCATTTAGTGACCATTTGAAATTACAACAGCACTGAAACAAGTGACTTGTGACTGTTTTGAACACTTATGACTGTTAGAGCATCTCCATGGCCATGCAATAAAAATCCAGATGCTTGGCAACTGATTCATATTTATGATAGTTGCAGTGTCTTGGGGTCATGTGACCACTTTTGTTGCTATCCTCTGACAAGCAAAGTCAATGGGGATGCCAGATTCACTTAACAAGCACGTTACTCACTTAACAACTGCAGTGGTTCATTTAACAACTGTGGCAAGAAACGTAATATAATGGGGCAAAATTCACTGAACAACTATTTCACTTAGCAAAAGAAAAGTTGGGCTCAATTGTGATCGTAAGTCGAGGACTGCCTGTAGTTCAAAGCATATAAAGTGATGAAAAAAGTTTCTGTCCCTGCCCCAATTTATGGGCAGGCTCTCTGCTTTCTGCACATTGTATTGGCTCACTTACATACAGACAGCATTTATGAAGCGAGAACATGCTGACCTTAAGTTATCACTGTTTCTGGGGGTGGGTTTTGTTATCTATCCTCACCTAAATCTAAACCCACATCAACAAAAGCTCTGGTCCTGCAACAGAACTTTTCCAGCTCAAGTCCACATAGCAATTTACTAGATTAACATAAAACAATCCCATCTCCAAAATGAGACGGGAGGGTTAAGCTTCTTCAGAATGCCCTTCTATCTCTAAATAGGATCTTGGGCAGATTTCAGCAGAGACTTAGATAATAAACGTCACTGAAGAAAACAGATTAACAAATTTAAAACCTAACAGGTCATAAAGTGTCATGAAAAATTGTGGCAACAATTGCATATCGTCGATGTTGAATGTATTGGGAAGGAGGCGTTATTAAAATAGCTGGTTAAGTGATAATTAATGAGTTTTTTGTTACTTGTTCAAGACTGTAATCTTTAGCTACTTTTGTAATTCAACCCCTAATGGTACAGTTCTATCCTCCTGTGGAAATAAATGTCAATTGTTAAATGACTTTTACTATCTCTCTAATTTTTTATTACTAAGCCATGTGAATTTCTTTTGCCTAATTACACAGAAGAATCTCAACTCATCAGAAAAATGGCATAATTTATTTGTCTACACTAATAGATCAAATGCTTATTTATCCTCTAATTCTATAGTCCTAATGGAAAATATATTCTTATCCTACATTTATAATTTCCAAATCACTGATTCAGGCAGATTCAATAGTATTCTTTCTCTTAACTAAATATTACCTGCATTATATGGATTCTTATAACAGTTTGACCAGAAGAAGCTTATTTATTTCCATACAAATGGGATTTCTAGTGATAAAGTATCCAAATCCACCTTGCAAAGATTTTACGTTTAGTTCTGAATGTGCAAAATTTTAAACACCTTTTTCCCTCAAGACTAAATTACGGCACTATCAAATTGTTATTGCTCTTAAGTTACAAGCAGAGAAGTAGTACACTTTCACACAGTCAGTTTTCCTCCGTGCAATTTTCTTCCATAAAGTACAAAATGTATGTCAGTAAAGGAGTCAAGAACTCTTCCTAACAAAACATCAGAAAGCTTTTCTATTTGTTGAAAAGATTTTTTCCCTACAAAAACATAAAAGCATATTGAAATTGTATCCAATTTACAATAAATGAAAGAACAGATCATAGAAATATATATGAACAAAGACCATGGAGTAACATTTAGTTTTAAACTGAAAACCAGAAATAGTATGAGCTACATACACCTTACATGCATTACAACTCTCAAAAAATTAAGTTCTGCAAGGACAGTGATACTTTTGTTTTGGCCCCAAATTTTATATTAGAAAACAGCAGATATGGATAACACAGCCCCTAACCATTTCTTTATTTACTTCAGTATCATTAATGCCAAATCTCAGGTGGTTGGAAAGATCAATGTACAGGACTCGTGTATACTGACATACTCATCAAAAGACCATTTTTGCTTTTATATTAAACAGGTTTTGACAAATAAATGCAATAAATATAATTAGATTTCATGCAGAATAACCTATAGCCATACTCACAGTTTACTGTGTTTTCCCTTGAAGCAATATTTATCAGCACAAAGCAAAAAGTATATTTAATTGCCTTTTGACAATACAATTTACTGCTCCAGTGAAGATACTGACCGAATTTGAATGATTGTAAGCAATGAGATTCTCCTATCCCAACCATATATACAACTGACAGAGAAGCAAAAGGAAGAGGGAAACAAGTAACAGCTCTCATATCTTGCAGAACACAAAACTTCAAAATCTTTTTGGAAAACAATAATACAAAAAGCAGTCTAGTCAACAATGCAAGACTAGAACTGGCTGATTGCAAATTCATTTTGAAGTGCTGTCATGGTACCTGAAGGATTTGCTTAACTACCTGAAGGAATTGTCAAATTACATACAGTTCTGTACAAATGTTATTACTTTCTATTACGATGTTCTGTGGTTGTTGATCAGACAGAAAGCTTTCTCATTATGACATCTTATATCTGGAGTCCCATCTCAACAGAAACTTACCTGATAAATTCTGTTAAAATTGTAGGAGAAAATCGCACCAGCCATTTCAGTATGTTTAATAGTTGATATAACTATCTAGTGTTAATTTTTATTCTTTTTATTTAATAGTTTTAATTATAAGCTAGACAAGAAGCTTATATTTAAAGGTACTTAGGTCTCCTACATAAATCTTTCACATTTCTTCAGACTGCTGGACTGGAAACGATTTCTGCTGGAATAATCTGTTCAATTATATAAGGCCCTGTTCATATCAGTAAATGATATACATTTTTAGAATGAAAGCTTTTTTTTCTTTCAAATGGTTATGTCATCAATGCCAGGAACAACAGTTTCAAAGGACAGAAAGGAAAAGGAAAGGAAGCACTAAGATTTTTTTTCTTTATTTTTGTGATCAATGAATTTGCCCTATATCACATCAACTGAAAATAATCTATTCTATTAGATTTGTTATGCCAATATTTATCTGGAGACCCTAAAATTAGTTTGCTAATTTGATAAGAGTCAGAGTGAACTTAAATTTTTATTTTCACTTGCATGCTCTAAAATAGCTGCAAGGTCTGTAAGACCTTTATGTTCCCCTATATAAAACCTTTGATATAATTTACCATAAAATTGCTAATATTATTTATTGATATACGTAGTTCCTCATTCAGAATGTGTACTATCTCAGTTGATATGCCCTACGTCAGCAATACAGCATCATCTGTATCATCTCTGGATTATATCACTGCGAGAATATGATTTTATTATATAAATCAGAGATTCTGAATTGAAAATGACAATTTAGACTATTGAATTAAACCTTTCATTGAGTGCAGGAATTAAAATGAATAAGTTTTTAATATATGGCTATGCTACCACTTGAACACAACCACAAAAAGACAGCCTATTATCTCTCTAAATAACTGACTCTTTGTCGAATTATTCTTACTCCCAGGAGATTTTTCTTAACATGCAATTAGAATTTGCTTTGCTATGTACTGTACTGTGGAATGACAGACAACGGGCGGTGGTTTTCTTCTATGTGACATCCCTTCAAATTCTTAACGAGTGCTATTATATTCCATCTCAGTATTCTTTTCTTAAAGCTGAAGGTTTTCAGTTTCCTTCATCGTTTCTTATAAAATTTAGTTTGTGATTCCCTATTCACACATGCTTGCTGCCCTTGTCTAGATGCATTCAATTTGTCTGAATACTGTATTTTCTAAAACATGATGTATCATTTGGGGGGTGGAACATGACAAATGTAGAATGGAGCATTTGTATGATTTAGGAATTTGTAATTCCTAATCCTATGATTCATGATTTAGGAATTATGATTGATCACTGATATTGCTGGTTTAGACTCTATAATCCACCCCAACAAATATTAATGTAAACTAGGTACTACTAAAACACGTGCATTTTTAAACAAAACTACTGCAGAATATTAATGCTTTCCAAATTTCATTTTCAGCCTGTTTCACTAATCTATCAAGCATTAAGGAAGAAGGAAATCTAGAATACTTTCTTTTCTAAGAAAAGCTGTCTTTAGTATTACTCGTTTTGATTTTCAGTAAATTAGATAATTTAATTCAAAAGTGAGTACTTATTTTATCCTATATTTTTAAAATCATACATAGATAATACATTGGTCAATGAAAATACAAGGGACCATGTAGAATAGGATATGTATTAATATTCATTTCAATGGATTCTGTATGATGCACTAAATTAATGCAATATTAATAAAACTACCTTCCAAAATGGGAAACTTATTACCTGAATATCAGAAGCAGGTACTCAGATTGAAAAGACTTGAAATGATATAAATAAGTAATTGCTTAAGAAAGAAAAGAAAAAGCGGTGAGAACAGTAATCAAATAATGTTATTCTTAGGAACCAATTTATTCAATAAGCTCATTCATGTGTTTGTGTGTATGTGTGTGTGCATAAACCACAATGACATCTAGCTGATACAGCACTACTGTATATACAATACAAACAACTAAGAAGAGGAAAAAACAAAATCATACCTAGAAGTGAAGTCTCCTTTGCAAATGCAGCAGCAATTGCTGGATCCAAAGCTGGTTGACCATCACCAGATGGAAGGTCAGGACGAGTGTAATCTCTACTTTTATCATTATTATACTTTACATTCAAGTTGACCAATTTGGAAAAATCAATCCGTAAGGTACAGCAAGCATTATAAATATTCTGACCATCTAATGCCTGGAAAACCAAAAATATGGAATAAGATGATACAGCAAAATTTATAAAAGAAAATTAAATGTCCACTGAAATTAATCTCAAAATATTTAAACATGTTTGTATCAACTAGACCTTGCTGTCTTTGCCTCCAAACTGGCAAGTGACATTTGCTCTTGTGATTTGAAGTTCCAACTGGTATAACTGCAGCTTTACCAGACTGTTTTCAGCAATTCTTTTTCCAATCTGCATTATATGGTGTTACTAGAGTTTGTTCTGGTGGAATTTTTCCACATCCTCTTTTAATATCTTTTCCTCCCAATTTAGTATAAAAGACTATCTTAATAATTATTTTACTCTCATTTTCCAGAGACATCAAACAATACATGGTAAATTCCAATGTCATTTTTAAATGTTTGGTAGAAGTTGGAATGAAAGATTTCATGAGGAGCCAACTTGGTTTCTAGGATAAGTAGACAGAAGCAAAGTTAATTGCTACTAAAGAAAGAAATATGTGCTTCAGTATTTCTAGCAATCTAGCCACTTGGAGCTGGCTAAAAACAAGATTAAAACAAGTTAACTATCTGAAAATAAATTATAAATTATTTATACAGATCTACTGATGTAACTATCTTACCCATAACATTTTACAGACTTATTGTTAGAAGTTTAGGAAATCAGGATAGAATAACTAAGTAGTTGGAGTAGTTTCAGAACCCAAATAAAAACAGAGAATATCACAGGAGCTGCTACCGCTCATGATAGATTCTCTTCTTTTCTATTACTACCAAATTTATAAATACCAAAAAAGACTGGTTGGGAATGTAATTTTATTGTAATAGATAGATGGATAGATATCTTATCATTTGCCCCAAAAGGAGAAAATAAGACAACACACAAGTTAAATTCCATATTATCCTATAGTTGTCACTATACTGTAGTTTAAGAAAATTAAAACTATAAAACATTTTGTACGCTATAACTATAAAACATTTTGTATTTTTATAAAATAGCACCTGGCAATAGATTCTCATCCCTTAACAAATAGAAAAAACCATAACCCCTAAAATGGCAGTTAAAGACATGGAATGTAGCAGTCCGTTAAGATTCCCTAAAACTAAGTTCAACATATATTTTAATTACTTTATTTTCATCTTTATTTTTTCTAACAAATGATCTTAATCTTAAAGACACTTAAAAATTAAAATACAAACTAACAAGAAAAAAATATTTTCCAACAGTATGGTTTACTAGTGAATTCACTACTATATTACAATATATTATTATAAGATATCACAATCTCTGCCCTAATAATACATATTGCTGCATTCTTTGACTGATAGAAAATATTGCCTTTTAAGATCAAAATATATATGACTAACCCCAAAGTAATATTGTGGGAATATACATATTTTGATCTTGAAAAGCAACTGAAATGGGAGCAACTATAGTAATAATAGGTGACTTCAATAATAGGTGACTTCAGCCTTATTAGCTAGATAAATTTTCTGGTTTCAACTGATGCATAGTATTTTTAGAGATAACAAATTAAGGTGTCTTGGAATGACAGGGAAGCTGCTAAAGATAAAGCAAAGCAATGAAGAATTTATTTTGAACTGTTTAGCATCTGGTGCAAAATGAGTATTTTTGTTGAACAATGACTTTGGTATTATTAAATTAAACACATTTTAAAATTTAAGCAGCTTCTTAGAATTGAAAATTGAAAACTATAGATAAAAAGAATAATCAATTCAGAATGCCTGAAGACAATTTAAAGTTTTGAAAGGTCAGATGGTACGTAGAAATAAAAATGCCCGAGAAACAATGTAAATTGGTATTCTACACTATCCCAAATATTCAGAAAATAACAGTTATTTTAATATATCAGAACCAAAAAATAAATTTAGCCATTTATGGATATAAATAAATGGATAATATCAGAGTAGCTGAATTTGGAGTTGTATGGTCATGATGTCCTACAATTCCAAATCATATCACTACCACTCCAAGCAAAAACCAGGTCTACTATGTGACACCTCTGCATCTTACCCCAATGAGTCAAGCCTGCTATAAATTAAGTTGCTGGTTAAAAAACGTCTTTGAATCCGTACCCAGGGAAGATGTGTTGAAATCCCTATGGCCATAAGCCTGGAGACTGCAGATGGCAACCTAGAGAATGCATCAAGCAGCACAGGCAGAAAAACAGTAGGGAGGCTGGACAACAACAGCAATCCCAACTGATCCCTAAGACCTACTGGTAGCTTCCCAAGTAGAGACTACCTACTGCCTATTTCTGGGACAGCAGCCCTGACAACCCTCAGAATTTTGCAAAGAACAATAGTAAAAAGATATCTGAAGCCTTGTTTCATCTGTTGTATAAATTTCTTTTAATACTGGTGTATTTAAATATTATTTTAGATGAATCACACTTTTTTTTCCTTAGGAGTTCATTGTTAATGTTATTAGAACTTGATTGTATCTTACAACAGAAACTATACTGCAATTATCTAACAAATGAACTAAAGGTCAAGACATGAAAACAGGTCAAAAATGAGCAAAAATGATATTTTTATTATGAGGGATTTAAAGTCATAATAATTCATCCAATTAAACTTTATAAACAAGCTTGTAATATTTCCCATGTACAAGAATTATGCTTAGTTGGAGTAGCGTGACAACCTTATAGATGATCTAAAATTTGATTAAAATTTTAGCCATTAACTAATCCACCATTAGAATAGAAGAAAGTATGAAGTGCCCATATAAAATACCTGGATAGTCTTTGGTAGGCCTAGAGTAATTAAAAATGAATACAGTTGTCAGAACATTTAATCAGCAATAATTAAAAATATATCCTGGATTACGTATTTCTAGATCCAAAATAAATTATAAAGTATTCAACCTTATTACACTCATACTGGTAGTCCTCGACTTACAGCCACAGTTAAGCCCAACATTTCTGTTGATAAGTTGTTAGGTGAGTTTTTATACATTTTAAAATCTTTCTTCCACAAATGTTAAGTGAATCACTGCAATTTTTAAGTTAGTAACATGGTTGTTAAGTGAATTTGGCTTCCCCATTGACTGCTTATCAGAAAGTTGCAAAAGATGATCACATGACCCTGGGACACTGCAACTGTCATAAATAAATATTCCAAATTAGTCTGGGAAAGAGTGAGTATCAGTTAGCTCTCCCAGATAAATCAGACAGAAAATGCAACTAGATGAGCTAATTCTACTTTATTATAAAGCTATACTAACAGAAAGTGTCAAATCTGAAAGTACAAATTTTCCACCGCCATTCTTAACTTCTTAAAAGGGTCCTTCTTAAATTACTTCCTCTGACCATTAAGCCACTGGGGCCTCCCACCTCTCTTGTCTGACTGTTTCCTAGGCGGATCTCTTCCCCTTGCCCCAAACACAAACATGCAGTGTGTGCACACTGTGAAAGTTAGATTGGGTTTCCTGCTCCTAGGTCATCAATTTCACAACTGCACTGCATTTCTATCAATAATAATGTGATTTAAAGAATATGACTTAGTTACAAGCATGTTTTCTTTAGCATAATTAATCATAATTAATCTAAGATTATTTAAGAAAATCAAAATCACAGATAAATCTCTGATCTTTACAAATTTTCATAGATCTATTAGAGCAGGTCTGCATAAAATACAACCCAGATATCCATCCAGTCTAAACATCTGGCTGAATAGGCAACCAACCATAATATTATTCCATTCTGAGATAGCTCCAGCTTGAAAATCCCCCACTTTTTATATTCATGGGATAACAGGGATATCAATATTCTAGACTGGTTCTTAACCACTGGCCATATGACCCACTGGGGGCCTTAGGGATTCAAATTTCTTAACTGGTTCTGTGGGTGTGGCCTTATTTGTGGGTGTGGCGTGGTGGTCATGTGACTGGCTTGGCATGACTTGCTGACTGGGCATGGCTTGGTGGTCATGTGACTAGTTGGGCATGGCTTGTATGTAAATATTATAAATATCCATGTAAATATTGAATTTTTTTTTAAAAAAGAGCAACTTTTACCCAAAATCAGGCAAAGCAGGCAAGCAGATTGAGTTGTTCACAGAATCACAGATTCATTCAGAGATCTATCTTTCTGCCATTGGCTAGCTGAGTCTGTCACATAAAATTTGCTAGCAAGCAAACTCACAAAATTAACTTACAACACACCATGTATGTAAATATTGATTTTTTTTTATAAAAAAGAGCAACTTTTACCCAAAATCAGCCAAAGCAGGCAGGCAGATTGAGTTGCTCACAGAATCACAGATTCATTCAGAGATCTATCTTTCTATCTGCCATCGGCTACCTGAGTCTGCACTGACAAATAGAAGCTTCAGTCCTAAGGAAGGTTTAGCTCTGCTTTTAAGATCTAAAGATTAGCTAGAAAGCAAGAAATCCAATGGTTTCCTGCTTTCTAGCTAATCTAACTCTCCCGGCACAGCAGAACTGCTGATGGGGGGGGGGGGGGAAAAACAATTTAGCAGGCAAGTTTGATGGCGCGCATGCCAGGTAAGGAGTCAGTGGATGGGGCCAGCCAGTGGTGCAATTTGCCAGTTCTTTGGCAGGTAGAATCCCACCCCTGGTAAGAGTGCGTTTTGCGTGCCTGTGTAGACCATTTCCCAAAAACCCCAGCTGTGCTGCCCGGACAGCTGACAAATGCTGTGCACAGGTGCACAGCGTTTTAAATTCCTTTCCTGCTTTTTCAACCTCAGCTGTGCCACGCAAAGCAGCTGAGGTTGAAAAAGCAGGAAATAAAAGACAGCCAAGAGCCCAGGCGGGCGGCTGGGCCAAACAGTCAGTTGGGTGTCTGCTACTCTTCTAGGCTACCGGTTCTATAGAACCGGACCGAACTGGTAGGATCCCACCCCTGGCCCTGGGGCATTTTAAGCAGGCCACAAATGAAAAACATACAAAGGGAGCCATGGCCCATGCCAAGAAGGCTACAGGATTACAGAAAAGCAAAGTATACAATATTGGAAATTAAGTAGTCC